CGGCTCTCAAGTGGCTGTGGGAAATTGACGTCAGCAACAACAAGCTTTCCGGTCCTTTCCCGACAGGTGTCTTCGACCTCAACTTGACTTTCCTCGATCTGCGTTTCAACGAGTTCTCCGGTCCCATCCCGAAGGAGGCCTTCAACCTCGACCTCGATGTCCTTTTCTTGAACGACAACAAGTTCTCGGGCAGCATTCCTAGCAACGTTGGCTCTTCCCCTGTCATCTACTTGACGTTGGCCAACAACAAGCTCAACGGATCCATTCCTAAGAGCATTGGAAACATGAAGAACGTTCAGGAGATTCTTCTGCTGGGCAACGATTTGTCCGGATCGCTTCCTAAAGACTACAACATCAAGAACCTTACCGTCTTTGACGCTAGCGATAACAAGTTGTCCGGATCGGTTCCCGAGGGACTGTGCAAGCTCGACACTCTGGGAGTCTTGAACCTCACCAGCAACAACTTCAGCGGAACTCTGGGACCGGCCTGCACTGCTCTGCTGAAGAGCCACGTTCTCGATGTCACCAACAACTGCATTCAGGGTGTTAAGGGCCAGAAGCCCGCCAGCCAGTGCAACCACTAAGGAAATCCGGGAGAGGGATCTGTGGTCTACGGCATGAACGCACGTTACGAGCTCATAGGGGGTTCTACTCTATCATTAGCCACAGATAATATTATTACATAATGCCCCTACAAAGTCTCAGCTCCCAACGACAGGAGTATAACAGTGAAAGATGACAGACGACCCTACGAGTTCAGGAACCTGTCTCTGTGTGATTGTTTGAAACATAGAGTAAACTGCCCCCAAACCTGATATGTACTACCGCAAGTTAAGGATCACGATGCCCCATATTCCCCGCGCATCACAGCCCGGAGCCGAGCGCTGCTGCCGAGATGCAAACTATCATCGGCCCCACCAACCGGCGTCGGCCCCGCTACCCCACGATTTCCGATCCCCGCAATGTTCACTTTGTTCTGGGGTTGTCTTAGATCGCATTTGTCATTGGAGTCGGAAACTTCGGTGATAGTATTGAAGTCAGAGGGCAAGAGCGAGACTATATGAGCTACAATTGAGGTGTATTAGGTACTGAATACAAGTTGTCATTGATCCTACGGACATTCATCCCACAATCTCATGGACCCTTCCCACTCTCGAACAACTACAATTTTCTATCACTGATCGATAACTAATCAAGACCTAAAAGACATGGCTGATGTTGAACTTCTCAAGGCCGAACTCGCAAAGACCCATAGACTGGGAAAGTTCGTCAAAGGTAGGATTTCATTTACTGTGCCAGAATTTCGCGGAACGATACAAAACGAGGTTTTTTGAAGTACTTGCTGATATCGCCTACAGCCTGGGACCCGCAGGTAATGGGCGTCAAGGATGCCAAACCTCGTACCGTCACAGATGGTCACATCGTCTCCGATATGGATGTTGCCATCCCAGTTAGAGACGGCACAATCCTGCGAGGCAACATTTACCGGCCTCGTCACCTGGAGGGCACGAAACTGCCCGTGATCTTCAACTACAGCGTCTACAGCAAAGACGGCGCCACCGACATTGCAGTTTTCCCACCAAGTGCAGGCTTCGACAAAGCTCGCATCACCAAAGACTACGAGTTCGAAGCGGCGGATCCGGGATGGTGGTGTCCTCGCGGGTACATTGTTGCCAGCATAGATGCCAGGGGTTGTTTTCAGTCGGATGGCGACAAGAGTTACTACTCTCGAGATGTCGGAATCGATGGTAAGTGCCTGTCTTGATATCTTCTAACATTATCATTGGAGGAAGAGCCATATTTAAGCTGAAATATCCCCGCAGGATACGATCTTGTCGAATGGCTTGCAAAGCAGAGTTGGTCAAATGGCAAGGTTGCCTTGTATGGAGCCAGTGGCTATGCAATGGTGCTTTGGCTTGTAGCAGCTGAACAACCTCCATCCCTTGCGGTATGTGTTCCTATCCCTGCTTCGGATCGATCTGAATTGCTAACCACCAAATGATGAAAGGCAATCATTCCAATTGACGGCATGACTGACATGTATCGCGAAATGGCTTTGAAAGGCGGAATTCCCGAAACCCAGTTCAGTGCCGTGTGAGTCTTCTCTTTCTTTTAGAACATTCTTGAACTAGATCCTTCATGAAGTGGAGCTGACTAGAAATGGTTGAAGCTATCCGTACTTCTTCAACTGGGGAAAGAATTACGTCGAGGATACGACGGATGGGGCCAAGACGCACCCATACTTCGATGAGTACTGGCAAAGCAAGATTCCAGCTCTCTCTCAAATCACAGCCCCGGCATATATCATTTGCGGATGGGGAGATCATGCTATACACACACGTGGGACACTCAACGCTTGGGAGAAAATCGCTTCTCAGGCCAAGTATCTTGAGATCCATCAATATCAAAAGTCAGTCTTTCTCCACTATCGCCGCCAAAAGTAGCGTCTCTAACCTTTGTGTGATGAATGATAGATGGGAGTGGTCGGTTACTGAAGAGTCGTTGGCCCGCCAGAAGGCTTTCCTCGATCATTATCTGCTCGGGCTATCGACAGAAATTCAGTACTGGCCCAAAGTTCGTTACACCATGAGGGAACGCTACTACACTGGGGAGTGGCGATACAGTGACGCATTCCCAATTCCAGAAACCCAATATACGCAGTACTTCCTGACCCCAAGCTTTGGCTTGAGCAAGGTTGCTCAGCGCGCGGAGAGCCAAACATCATACGATGCGAGCGAGGGTGAAGTTGCCTTCGAGCTTCCTCTTCGAAACTCTCTTGAGTTTGCAGGCCATTCCAAGCTCAAACTCTGGGTCGAAGTGACTGATGGTGGCGACAACCTGGATCTTTTCATAACTTTGCGAAAGAAGGATAAAGATGGAAATGATGTGTACTTCCCATGGATCACAGTTGTCGATACCGGCCCCATTGGTTTCGGTTGGCTTCGAGCCTCTCGACGCGAGTTGGATGAGACAGCCTCGACCCCTTGGAAACCAGTTCATCTCCATCGAAGAGATCTGGAGCCTCTCAAAGCCGGAGATGTGGTGCCTGTGGAGATTGAGATACAGCCCACGAGCTGTCGATTCCGGGCGGGAGAGCGACTTAGCCTCGTAGTCTCTGGACACGACTACGGCAAGTACCCGCCAGGTGCTCCTATCCCCAGGCATAATTCCACAATTAACAAAGGACGCCATGTCATCCATTTTGGCGGGAAATACGACTCGCATCTGTTGTTGCCCGTTATACCACCGGTCAAGGAAGCGTATAGCCAAAAGAGGCCCCTCGTCAAGATGACCATTGCCTGTAGACGGATCCCCGGTTGGGCGGAAGACAAGTTTCTTGAGGAATACACAAGCGTCCATGCTGCAATGACGAAGCATATCTCCGATGTGGTTCCCATCCTCCGGAACTACACTCAGGCCGTTGCACTCCCTCATTTCAGTATTTCAGGCGTTCCGAACGGGGGTCTGGAACCTTGGGACGCGGTGACGACCCTAGGGTGGACGTCATTGAAAGGTCTCTGGGGCTCATTCCAAGCTCCCGAGTACAAAGCTTCTGCTGGTAAACACGAATTCGCAGACACTTCAGCACAGATAGGCATCCTCAGTCAAAGTTTTGCGGAGAGTCTGTTTGACCCCATCCTCTTTGAGAAGCGTAAAACCAAAGCAGCATTGCTGCTGATCTTCCTAGCAAAGTCTCAAGACGCAACCTACATCGAAAACGACCTTACTAGTCGAGCAGCGTCCATCACAGAACTCGGAGCCGGTACATCTTTGATGAGATATGTCCTCAACCGGGAAGTCACCCCCGAGGATACGACCAGTTTCTTCGCCGGAACGCCTTTTGCTACTTCCGACTGGCACACGATGGCTGCTTTCGAGCAGTACTGGTTCCCAGACCGAGCCTCTGCGGCAAAATTCCTAAGCGAGAAGAACAAGCTTGAAACTCTTTTCAAGAAGTTGCCAAAGTCTTTTGACGCAGAGAAGTCTTTTGCGGTGATCGGAGATGAGAATATCGTGGTCAAGAAGGATTTGGAGTTCTAGCTTTATTGTAAATACCTCAAGGCACCGCGGGAACTGTAACATGAGTGATCTACGAACTGACTTTAGAATTTGAATCGGTGATATTTGATTGTCTTTGAATGGTATTACACCTTCAATCCAATTGCATGGTAATACGAGAGGTCCCTGATAGCGACAAAGATTCTTCGACAATAGGGTAGCAAATGGAGACCCCAAACAAGAGAGATTATCATCGTATTCCACGATTCGACCTCCATTGCGCCCTCATGACCATACTTACAGCCAGACCCAAAGACCAGCCCGACTTCCGAGTCAAAATCCGCACACTCTCTTGAACCAAACGATCGGATGCACGTTCATCATTTAAATCTCCAATGCCCGCCACGTATAGTCGGAAGTCAGAGTCCCCTGATAGCCATTGAACCAAGGCCTCTTGATGATTTGGTTTATCAAGACGATGAGTTCTGAGAGAGCTCGTCTGATGCCTGTTGAAAAGAGTGTGAATCCACATGGAGAGTGTGGCGTACAGCAGGGCATTATTCTCATGATGTCCACAAGTGGGATGATTCCGAATATACGAGAACAATTTGGCGGCATGATAGATAATCACACGCGCCTTTCCCTTATTCTGGCGGAGCCATAGAGAAAGTCTCCCGTCTGCAGCTTCTCTAACTTGAGGGCTAACGCCCCAGCCAGAAAATGCAGTGAGTACCCGTAAAGGCATATGGAGAAGGAGGCTGAAAGCGTGGTTGTGCTGAAGTGTGATCCTCTGAATTTTGCCGGCCGGCGGCTTTATGTCTTCGTCGCCACGCAAAATTTCAAGGTAGTGAATTGCGTCTTGATTGTTCGCGGAGTCTCGATACACGGCAAAAGTAAGGAAGAGCCTATTCAAGCTACTCAAGCCTTCCTTTACCTTTTCTTCACGCCAAAAGTGTACAAGTTGTTCTCGAAGAAGGCTGTCATTGGCTAAGTCTTACCGGTTAGTGGTCTTGTTCAATATCTGCGGCGTACGGGGCATTGCTCACTTGGTGATCTGGAGGCTTGATCTGCCCATATTTCTGCAGAATCCGATGCCCAAAGTCCTTCGTCAGACGGCAGCGGGAGTAGTAGGAGATCTGTGGGTATAGTCGGAGGCAAATCAAAGAACAAGCCCAGTTGACCGTCTAATAGCTTGAGATCAATTGCAGTGTTAGCTTTTACGCGCTTACAGACTGGAAAAGGGATTTGGTGAATTACCCATGAGAGATGCACAAGTCTTCTTTTGCTTTCCGCAAAAATCCATCTTTTCCAACTGGCTGGCAGGGGTGCAATATCCTCAGAGAGTGACTGAGATTCGCTGAAGTAGCCTGCTCGTCGGCAAAGTGTCGCGAGTAAAGACATGTTTCTTTGGGCGTGCTCGGCGAAAGACATGCTTCCAGAAAACATCAACCCTATCTGACCCAGTAATACAGCTTGTGTCAAGCACAATTCTGAAGCCGCATCCGGCACAGGGTCAAGGTCCAACTTTACAGGTTGTTAGTATAGACTGCCTTCTGTGCACCGGTAGGCTTCGACTTGAACTTACACAAAGGTTGATCGAGCGCCGCAGAAGTTCTTGCAAGAGGAAGACATCACTTAGTGTGCCAAACTTCGAAAACCCGCACCCTGTCGCCGCAACGGCAAGAAGGAGTATCCAATGAACACGGTCTGGGTCGAAAGTCTTTTGATGGAGCAAAGGCCAGATAGGGTGGTAGTGCTCAAAATGAGATTGGATGTATACGTCAACGGCCTCTCGAGATGGAAATGACTTATCTGTGAATGCTTTGCAGTAGTCTGTGTCCGCATTTAGCTTTCCAAACTGTGCTTGGAGAATCGAGTAAGCTTGCGGGCTTAAGCTCGGAACATGGTCGTAGGCTTCGAGATCCCAGTCCTCCTCATTTTCATCGACACCTTCGGGATGGAAGGAAGAACCTGCAATTCGACTGAGGTCTTCGAGGCCATGGGTAACGAAGTGCTTTTTTCGACGGGCCTGGTTCTGTTCAATCTCCGTGGAGTCGTCGTAATCTCGACTGAAAGCCGATGAACGCAGAAAAGCATTCGCGAAAGTAGAAGAAAGTTGAGAGTGATTAGTAAAAATTGCCCTTGGGGTATCTTCTGATAAGAGAGAAGTTGGCGTAGGTTCTTGAATAGCTGTTTCTGAGACTGCGCCATCTACTTCTGCACGAACAGAACAATCCTGGGCTTCTTCGCGTCTTTCATTAGATGCATATTCCGAGATAAGCTGAGGCCGCAAGCCATCTTCATCAGGCATAGGGACAGCCGTGGTATTTTCTTGTGTCGCCAATTCATTGTTCAGGAAATCATCCCAGCTCAGCCATGCATTAGCTGTCGAAAATGGAAAGCACCACTGGCTTGGTGTGCGAAATAGCGGATCTAGCTCCAACTGGAGCCCATCTTGGTTCCAGAGAGCAGCTTGGGAATTGTCTCTGGCATCTGGGCCTGGTTCCTGAGGTGGCTCTTCTTGCGAGTTTTCCACCTGAGTCTCTGGCAACTACAAGCTTGCGTAAGTTCAGCCGCAGATTAACGTTCTCCTTATCCATAAAGGGGGTTTCATAAGGGAAGCTACAAGATGGTAGTCACTTACAACTTCGTTACTGATGGTTGTTGCAATCTGACCAGGAAAACCCGATGAACTGAGCCCATCAAAAATCCCCCCGGTCTCAGATACTGGTGCCCGAAAGTCCTGGGAAGAATCAGGGTTACGGCGGTCGTCATCTGCATAAAGGCAAGAACGATTCCTGGATTCACATCTGGCGCAAGGATTGGCACCATCACAACGCTGTTTCGAGCGCGCACAATGCTGGCAAGCTTTAGGAACGCAATGCCGGCGGGTTTTCCTCGGAGTATCGGAGCCTGTGGGTGGAGAGTCAACGTCTACATGACTCTGCATGTGACGCTGAAGAGAGTCTCTGCCGGGGCTGAAGATCAGCCACTTGATTCGGGTAGGGCCTCCTCAATGGGGCGATTGTACGCCTATCAACCTATGACATGCGAGACTCGTGTTGCTCAGAACATCTTACCTTCGGGCAAAGCTAGCGGTGCACGTCGGGCACGCAAAAGGGCGCACGCCGAGATGACGAAGAAAGTGGCGGTTGAGATGCTCCGTACGGCGGAACTCGGCTTGACAGATGTCACATTTCAGAGCCATTTTCTCGCTTCGACCCCATCGGAAGTAGAAAAACTAGAACGTAGACGTATTCTGTTACTACTCTGAGTCTCCGACTTGTTATGGAGTTGCCACGGGTGGTTGCTGAGGTAGGCTGGTGTCGTCGGAGGTTGTGGGGTAGTTGCCACAAAGACCTCGAGTGTTTTTCGGAGGCTGCGGGGGACTTTCATAGCTCTATATACCCCTCTCGGAATAGAGAATCGTGGGGACAGAGTTTGTGGGGGCGGCATCTAACGCGGATGCACGAGACGGCCCGAGTCAACTACCGGCGTGTCAGATCACGATTTGGCCGAATAAAAAGATCGGCTTCTATGAACTGTCCGTCGCCGATTTGCGGTGTAGCAACAGAGGCTCATACCAGCGATTCGTGTTGCAGTCGCCCATCCGTAGAGGATGCACCCTGGTCACACCTATCGAAGCGTCGACCCTCATGTCACTAGTAAGGAAAAGGTCGTCCATTGGCTCTACGCCACCTGTACTGAAAGACAACTCAGGTACAGATTGACCAAGCGCTTCTTAGTCCTATACGAGGTATTCGTATGTCAAAATTGGCGGAGAAATGTGTAAAGCACCTTAAGATTGCAACAACTAGGGTGTCAACGTAAAGCATTGGCCCCAGTCCTCCAGGGTGCTGGGACTAATCTGGTGTAAATGTACTGGCTATAAAGGCGACTCATGATGCCATACGCTCTCTAAATACTTCATGCTATACTCCTCTATCTTCACTTTCTTCCTCTGTCACCTTACTTCAGCACAAGTCGAATATTAGGATACTATTAGTGCCATTAGCCGATAGCTCCCCCTCAGTTGGAAGACTTACCTACCGCGCTCATTTTTCACCATGGCCACCGATTTCTCCAAAGTGGGAAGGTTCACCTCTTCGCCAGCCATGACTGAATGGGATATCATTGTCGTGGGATCCGGCCATAATGGCTTGACCGCAGCCGCGTATCTGGCGGTAGCTGGAAAGAAGGTCCTTGTCCTCGAAAAGGCTTCGTACCCCGGAGGTGGGGTGGCCAGCCTACAGATGGCCGAGCCAGGGTTTATCAGCGAACGTCACAGCGCCATTCATCAAATGATTCTTGCAAACCCCATGATTACTCATGATGAACTTGGTCTGCAGTCTCGGTACGGCCTCATTTACAAGCAGCTAGACCCATGCTATGCCATAGTCATGGAAGACAAGGTCCTACCCATCTACAGAGAGCGTCACAGGACCGTCGATGCCATTCGAGAGTTCTCGTCGGAAGATGCCGATGCCTACAATGTATTTGTGGACAAATGTCGACAAATCACCGAGCTTTTGATACCCTCTATGTTCGAACCTCCCCGCGACATGTCGGCGGATATTGCCAGCAGTCCATCAGCCGAGGAAATTGTCATGGCATCAACCAGCTCCTCCTTGGAGATCATTCAGAGATACTTCAAAAGCGAGGTTCTACAAGTTGCGTTGCTGCGATTCGTAACTGAGATTCAACTTGCTCATCCAAAATCGACCGGCACGGGATTAATGGCCTACTTGGCATTTGGACTTCTCGACATATACGGCCTTTGCGTCCCCGAAGGCTCTGGATCTGTATGGACAGAGTCCGTCATTCGTTGTCTCAAAGACCACGGCGGCGACGTCAAGTTGGACACAGAAGTCATCAAAGTCATCACCGAAGGCGGGCGTGCGGTCGGGGTCAGAACTCGTTTTGGAGAACTCAGGGCAAAAGACGCCGTCATCGGGCAAATTCATCCCCACAATCTCGGTCACCTTGTCGACGGAATCGACCCGTCAATCATATCGGCCGCCTCGAACACCCGCACCTCTGATTTCAGTCTTCTCGTCGTTCACGCCGCTCTCGAACGCCCGCTCAAGTTTAAAGCAGGGCCAATCGCCGACAAGGCTGTCATGAACACTTGCTGCCCAGGAAACCTCAAAGACCTTATCCAGAGCTACGACGAAATGAACCAAGGAATCCTCCCAGAAAACATCATGATCGGAGCCTCTTGTATCAGCTCAGGTGACGAGACTCGCTGCCCGCCAGGCAAGTCGCTGCTGCACTGTGTTGTCATGTGCAAGTCAGAGCCTGCTGACGGCGGCTGGGCTGCGTGGGATCGCATCAAGGATGACTGGGTGCAGAGAGTCTTCTCGTACTTCTCCAAGTACCTAGAAAACTTTACTCCCGACATAGTTCGCTCCTATCATGTTGTTTCTCCTCCGGACCATCAGTCCGACAGCGCAAGTTTCCAACGCGGCGATATTGCCGGTCTTTCTATGGCGGCAGACCAGATGGGAATCAACCGACCCACACCTGCCCTCGCTCAGTACCGCGTGCCTGGAATCAAGGGTCTGTACCTTGCCGGACCTTTCATGCACCCAGGCGGAGGTGTCTGGGGAGGTGGTCGTCCGGTAGCTAAGAGAGTGCTTGAGGATCTTGGAATTGACTTCGATAAGAAATTTGTGCACGGCAGCTCGCGTCTGTGAAGGTGTTCAGGTCAAGTATAATAGGATAACAGTGCTCTGAGGAGGATCTGCGGGCACTTGAACAATGAGAAGGATGTGAGGGGTGTCTGCGCGTCAAGATAACCAAGTCGATAGCCTGTAGTTCACGGTCAATTATCCATACAATTCTCAGATAGAGCCCACCCATGAACTCATCAATATCATTTTTGTGGTATGAGAAGAGTCACGGATATCGAGCGCATTCTATTATCTCTACCGCTTCTAATCGTAGCCCCTGGACTCCGCGTCTTCTTGACGTATGGTCGCTCAAGGCAAGACATAGCCGCCGTCAATAAGGACATCGCTACCAGTCATGTAAGTAGAAGCATCGCTCGCCAGATACAGGTATAGGCCCTTGATCTCCTTAGTGTGGCCTTGTCTGCCCAGAGCTGCCATGCGGTATGCTTCTTGCAGAGCATCTGGACCAGCACCCATCTTGGTGTCAAAAAATCCTGGAGATACAATGTTGACACGGGCAAACTCTCTCCATTCGCGGGCTAGGGACTTTCCAAAGTGCGTGACGTAAGCCTTGGTGGCGTTGTAGACGGGTTGATCAACAGGGACGTTGACGATGTGACCGCTCATGCTCGAAGTGATGATGAGATTGCCGAAGCCTTGGCTCTTGAATACTTCACCAGCATACTTGGAACAGTACACGATTCCGTCCACTGATAATTGTGTTAGCTCGGAAATTCTCTAAGGTAGCGTGTCTTGGCCGACTTGCCGTTTACCGACATCTGTTTCCTGTATTCATCTAGGGTTTGCTCCAGAATGGGCTTTGAAATGGCCATTCCTGCATGAAGTTAGTCACAAGTAGGTCAGAACCAAAGCGTGTGGCCAGCACTGCATTACTCACCAGCATTTGCAACGAACACATCAATCTTGCCAAAGTCTTTCAATACCTTGGCAATAGTCTCTTGAACCTGGTTGGAATCGGACACTGAATGGATGTTAGCCTTCATATTCCTACTACTAATTCAACCATCCGGTAAACTAACCATCCACTTTGTAAGCCGAGGTCTTGACGCTGTGTGTGCTTGCTAGATCTTGTGCCTTTTGAATTGCAGCATCATTTCTGTGACGTCATTAGCCATCGAATAGCTCCAAAGACAAGGCAGTATGCCAGAGAGGCCTTTTCTTACGAATTGTACCACAAGGCAACATTGCCGCCGGCCTCTGCCATGGCCTCGGAAACAGCATAGCCAATACCATCAGCAGCACCAGTGACCACGATGACTTTGCCTGTCACTTTCAATTGGTCTAGGACGTTGGATGGTGTGTTGGGGAACGGGCGGGGGAAGCCTTCCCGGGACTTTGCGCAATCTTCAGTAGACATCGACATCTTGGCGGTGTTGTTTGCTGGTTTGAAGGACTTGGAAATAATAATCACGTTGAATTCGAAATCAGCAATAAGTATAAGTTGTGAAGCTGCGATCTTTATTCAAAAAGACCAACACCACAGATCTCCTCATCGGTGCGCTGTCGTCCGAAGGCGGGGACATTTGGTGGGGGCTCTTCGGTCCACTGGCACTGGATCATTGGGGCGGATGTGAACCGTCGGCCGGTCGAATCCCGGCCGGAGTCTTTATCGCAGCATTTCAGCTCTTCTGAAGAGGCACCAGAAACACCAATAGACTACTCTGAGATCTAGCAAATGGCTCAGGCCTACAGGAAATTGGCTCTGCGATATGTCGACAATGTTCAACTTTTGACACTACATTCCATTTGTTGACAGCACCGTCGGTGTTCTGCCTGGAATATCGAACCGCTCTCCTCCAATTGGCTCTGCTCCTTGCGAAGATCTGCGTAGGATCCATCACACATCCCGCTATCAAGGTTGCTGTGACTGACGGTTGAGACTCAACGTGACTTCTCCATGAGGAAAACAACTTCACAACTTGGGGCTGCCAGTGGAGTAGAGGCATCTACCGCCTGTTGAGCTGTGTTTGCAAGAGTTTCATGGCGACTTCGCAAAATCAAGGATGTTACTTGTTAACGTAATTGGCTTCCCGTGGCTCAATGCAGCACGCCTAACTTTAGAGTAAATCATAAATCACGAACGAACCTATGCGGGTCGAAATCTTGTTCATCTCTTTGCTGGCTCCTCACCTTACTCGTCCCCGTCCCCGGGAGCCTCAAATCCGACCTAAAACATCCCTCGATAGTTCAGATGAAACTCTTTGCGAGGAAACCTTCATGATAAAACTGCCATCACCACTGTTCGTGAGAAAAAAAGGTGTGTTTTGTAAAGCAACTGGATGAATGAATATATGGCCTTGGGGCTGCCGTTCCCATTTTCAGAAATCAGATCCCATCATTTTAACTAGCTTGCCTCCTAGAGTGAGCCGAATCATCAACAGCATTTAAGATGGAGTTGATCTTCCACTTTCAGCGCGCACTGACGCTAGCGCTTGTCCTTATCCTCAGTGGTGTTCAGTGTCTACCACAGCAGACAGGTGGAGAATCTCCTGCCGACAGAGCGAACAAGATACCTCAAGGTATTATGCCCGCAAAGGATGGTTCCATTATTCTTGATACTACAGAAACAATCAAGTAAGTGAAGCTTGGAAAGAACAATCCCGCTATGCACTTTCAGCGGAGCAAGCGCTAATTTTTTGAGCTAGCAACTTAAAAATTCGCTTCCGCATCAGTGGTCCAGCAGGTGAATTTACAACAGCAAGCAAGGTACCCGGGGGCGGCAAGACAACAGGCGCGAAGGGCAACCTCGGGCTTCACGTCCTGCTACACGGTGACAGCGGCTCGTCTTTCTTCGAAATGCCAAATCAAGGCGTAAAAAACAATTTGGCGGGTGTCACAGTACTTTCTCCGGACAGAAACCTCCACTGGGGAGGGGGTTCTGGGTTCAATCGCACAGACGGCGTGGCGCACGCTCAAGCAGTCAATGATCTCGTCTTCCAGACCCTACCAAAGTACATGGCCTTCAATTCCTCTAATGTCTTCTTCTCTGGGATTTCGGGCGGATCCCTTCTGCTTTCTGGATACTTCATGCCGGCGCATATGGGTAACTTCGCCGGAAGTGGGGTGATGCTTGGTTGCGGTGCCATGGAACCCCGTGTCGAAGTATCGCAGTCCTCTCGCGACGCTCTCATGAAAACTCGACTTCACTATCAAAGCACCCAGAAGGAACTTCAGCACCTGCAAGTATCAATCTCTGCCACCATGAAGGCGTACGAAAAGGTTGTCAAGGACAAGGGAATGGAAATAGAAGCAATCAACAAGCTTCAGACAGCCAATAACAAGCCCGTGGGAGGCCATTGTCAATTTGATGAGAAAGGGTTTGACTCCGGAATCCAGCTCATTGCTGACAACTATGCTGCGATTATGCAAGGAGGAAACGGCGAAGTGCCGGGTATTGGAAATGTGCTCAAGGGTGTTTCCGGTCAAGAATTGAAGTTTTCGGATGGCGGTGCTCCTTGAGCAAGCCGAGCTAGTTATCTTAAACCGACACGATGGTGTTTCTATCTGGCGAACTCCGAGGTCTTTTATCAATATCTTCATGTTCACTACCAAATCCATGTTCAAGTAATATGACCCCGTGGGTCGTGAAAGATCCGGCAGGTGTATGATGAAATCCGAAGTGATTGTAAACCCTTAGCGGGATGTGATCAAGAAAAGAGAGTTATTGCGACCACTCGGGCTTCCTTTTATGTTCCAAAATACGATCATGATAATCTAGCATAACTTATTGAATGGTAATTTTGGAAGGTAAACTCAAGTTGAATCCAAAGGAATTCAGTCGATAGCGAATCAACATTTGTTGCTCCAGTCCGTTGAGTTCATCAGTGAGCCCATCTCGCCATGAAGCTAACCACTGGTGCTGGCCCAAGTGCTGCAAAATCTTCCACCTTTTCTCAAAATTGCTTCCTACCACTTCCCAGTCCCACAGACAGCCCCTCGTAAAGTGTGACCACGCAATCTCCTTTGTTTGAGAGTCTAGAATTTCGTCGATGTAACTAGAAGGGCCTGTATATTTCTGGTTCTGCTCCATGGGCGGAAATAATCTTAAAACGTAAGCAATGGCCTCCATGACTCCCATGACATTGCTCCGTTGAGGCATTATCTTGTGTTCGAACCTATTGAATGCTTTCAACCAGTATTTTTGCATCTCCACGGATGACCGAATTCCAAAAAAGGACTCATCCTCATATTCAATTGAATGGGACATGGCAAATAAGAGGTCGCTTGATATATCGGCCCATTCCTGAAATCCCTTCAATATTTCTTCGTCCGAAAGCGGAACCTTTTCCGCATCGGCAGCTTTGTTGACGCATTGCCTTCTCTTGGGTAGCAGCGACCACAGGAGGGTTAGGAGGGACTCCGAGGACCTCAGCATACAACCTTTGTATAAAAAGGCCTGTAAAGGCCTACCGTCTTGCGAACTTCCCAAGGTGATGGGTTCTGCCCCAGTTATGCCACAAAGTAGTAGCTGGATCCCCCGTTCGTCTTCAAGGTAAGGCTTGAGCTTGGCTTCGAGTTGCTTCCATATCTTCCAAAGACTCGCCTTTGAATCGGTCTTGTGGCGGGAAACGTACGCAGCAAGCTTCAACAAGAGAGGCTCTGCTGACAACTCCGACATTGACTGCACATGGTCTCCTCCAACAATCAGTCGGAAAGTTTCGATAAGACATTCTTTTCGCTCTTCCAGTCGTTTTTGGTCGACTAAGCTGAACAGCTCGAAGCTCATGTTTTTCGCCACTTTACCAGTGTCAAGATTCTCGAATAGTAGATCACAGGCGCATAGAAGATTATAAGTTGAAGAGGCACACGTCGACCTAAGTAGTGCGTATCCGTTGATGCTGTGAAGCCAGAAAAGACTGTCATCTTGTCGTATGTGGTGGGAGATGTTACGACGCAACGGAATAGGTAGGATCAATGTAGCTTTCATTTCCGGACCGTCCTCGTGCCCAGGCCGAACAAATGACTGCCGATATCGACCGTCATCAGTAAAAAATCCGCGAAGATTGCATACTCTGATTGCTGTGACCTCTAGATATCCACTTCGTGAAATGATGCGAATATCGCAGGGAGAGAGCGGTCGCAATGAGAGAGATCCCATATCGAAATTGACGTTATTGGACAACGAATACTCATTTGCCTTGAATTTTCCGGAATTTATGAACCGTTCGTAAAGGTTGACGCCGATTTCCTGTAAAGAGAATGGCACTTGTATGTCTGGAACCCAAGATGGCAGAGTGCTTCGTCGAGGTCGGTTCGCACCTGCAAAGAGAAGGACAGCCATGCCAAGACCGCATTTCTGTGTCAAATAGGCCGCAATACCAATGCTGACTTCCTCTACCGTAAGCCGGTAGTCGGGAAAGACTGGCCACGGATACCATCGTGAGGCTAAGCCCAGCAGAGCAAACACCTTGTCTCGTGGATCCTTGCACAAACATTCCGATGTGTCAACCATAAGGCTGAGAAGATTTTGTAGAGGACGAACTGTCGCTTTATCCCGCGTGGTAATCCATGAATTATTGATAAGAGGAGTTAACATCGCCGAAAAAGGCCATGGAGTTGACTTTGAACCACAGTGGAGTGTCAACGTTTTGCTTAGAACAACTTCCTGGACCACCCACAACCTCCGAAAGTACGGTCGGCTGAGAAGCTTTTTAATAGGCATCCAGCAATCTGCGCAGACTTGACTTTGCTTTCCATTATGACCACAGTTGCGATGAGACATTGAGTTGAAAATGGCGCTGAGGGCTCTTTCGCTGTCATCAGCTGCTGGGCCAAGGTATGCCAAGACTCCGATGGCGGCAGCGTATATCTGTGGCATAAGAGCGACTTGTGCATTCCTTTCGTCGGTGTCATCCTGGTTGATGCAAAGAGAATCGACCCAAATAGAACGAAAGCTTTCCCCAACAAGTCGAATGCTACGAAGGGCATTTTCACAGTTCCGAGTAATAGGGATAATGTCCCAGTACGAGCCAATGAACATTGGTCTGCATCTTGTAGAGTCTCCGGAAGAGTCGGCCCAGGTATATGATAGGGCTTCGTATCTTGCCCGTTTGGAATCCAATTCCACGTTCTGAAAGCTTCCGTGGAGAAGACTATCCTTATCCCCCGAATCCAGTTCCAACATTCGTATTTCTTGGCTTCCCCATAGAATCGGGTAGCATCTTGATGGGCGATATGACTCGTCTGCGATTGAGAGTTTTCTTCGCTTCGTCTGTGGCCCCTCTATCGTCGCGGACTCTTTCGAAGGTGCGCCTGGCCTGTTCAGTAGATGATTCGTTCGTTGAGAGCTTTGAGTTCCTCCAAATGGAAAAGTAGAGCCGGAGCTTGAGCTAGTAGACGCATCGGGGGGGACTTCTGGTCGAGCGTCGACATAATCGACGCATGCAGGCCATCGAAGGTTGTATGTAGAGTTGTCCTCGAGGACAGGAGCTTGCCTTATTCTGAGAGAAGTATCGAACTGGACGTCATCAAGCGATGCTACTCCGTAGCAAAATCGACAGCATGGAAGGCCGCCGGCGACCACGACATCAGGCTGGGTGCACCCGCGCTCGTGCCACCTCGACATGATGAGCGGTGATGGAGTGGAGTTGAGAGTTGGTCAACTATGGTCCTTGATAGAGAAAGATGAAAGTCAGCTTCGTGTTGTTTCGATTTCATGGGAGAAAGCCACTCTTAACAAACAGTCAGCCTCGGAGCCTGATCATCCAACTGAAAAGGATGAGGCGGACTAAGAATGCCCATCCACTCGGACATGGCTGCGTATCGGCTCTGTCGTGGCCAAATTATCTTACTATTCGTCACAGCGGTTCTTTGGCTGCATGAATCTGCCAGTGGCTGACTGGTAAGACTGCATGACGTGTCAAGCTCCGAGGCCAATTACACTGCCTCATTGTAAGTAAGGGAGGCGATCGCCCACGCATCTTCACCGCCCTCCAGGTGAGAGGAGATTGTGGAAGGCTACTTCAATGGCCTATCTCTCGACATACTTTGCTTGCACACGATTCCAGCGTTGGACACATCAAGGGTTGGGTCCCTACCTCAAAGTCGTTCATTTTGGCCTTCACCCGCCTGCCCAGCGCTGAGACACACTCAAGAAATGCAATGCAGTAGATGTAGATAATCAAAGTCCTGTTTTGTTTCACAACTTCCTATCCAAATTCAGAAGAGTGCATTAGAGGGCAGGTTCCGCTATTCTATCTTCATCACCCTTTATGCGTGGAAGCGTCGGATAGCACGGGCAGTCTGGTTGCCCTTGGGGCCCTCAGTATCAAGAACAGCAACGCTAAGCTCAGGCAGGCTGAAGGTAAAGACACCATCGGCGTTAGCAACAACGGTGGTAGTGTTGCTAGCGACAGTAGTCTCGCCACCGTTCAAGGGATCGTTGTGCGCAAACGGGTCGCCGCTGGGGTTGGTCAGAACAGTCAAGGAGGCAGTAGTACCAGCAGTGACGCCCTCAAACGCGAGGTTGATGTCAACGTCCGCGCTGTCGGTGGTGTTATACACGGCACCCTTCCAGATCAAGCTGCCCTTGGCCTCGTTCTTGCCAGCAACCCAGTATGCAGGGCCGAACTCGCCGACAGTGGGCAGAGTGTGCGACAGCGGGTGCGCGGCGAAGAGTTCCCAGACGAACCAGCTGGTGGAGCGGGTCGTCAGCGCCGAGTCAGCGGCGAACTGGACAATGGTCACGGCCCATTGCCAGCGGTTCATGTTGCGGAGGACGGGGGCGTAGAAAGTTCCCGGGATGCGGTCGGCGTTGCGTTCGTAGCCGATGAGGGAGACGGCCTCGCCGACGGTGCCGATCCACCAAGGGAAGGGCATCAGGTCGCCGTCCCAGCCGGTGCCGCCGTTGGGGTGCGTGGCAGCGACCTCGCCAACAATGTGGCCAATGTCGTTATCGAAACGGTCAAATTCGTCGACGAGAGCGTCGGGGGTGCGGTAAGGGTGGTAATCACCAATGCCAGGGGCAGGAATCTCGAAACCGTCACCGTCGGTGGTGGCGCCGGAGGAGATGACGGTGATGTCGGGGTACTTGGCCTTGATAGCCTCCATGAACATGGGGAAGCGGTACTCCTTGTACGAGGTCCAGCCGCCAGGGTACCCGGCGAGCCAGTCCTCATTGCCAATCTCGACGTATTCGAGCGTGAAAGGCTCCGGGTGGCCGAGCTCGGCACGGCGGGCACCCCACTTGGAGTCGACGGGTCCGCGGATGAACTCGATCTGGTCGAGGGCGTCGTCAATGAAGGGCTGGAGGTCTTCCTTTGCGGTCACATCGCCATTGAGGGCGAGGCCGGCCCAAACGCCGATGACAACGTCCAGACCCATGTCCAATGCCCACTCGAGGTACTCGACGAGACCGAGGCCGTGGGTTTGCTGGTAGCCCCAGACGCCCTGGAAACCGGGGCGGTTCTTAAGGGGGCCGAGAGTATCCTTCCAGTCCCAGTAGGTGCCGTTGTTCAAGCCCTCCAGCATGTTGCCACCGGGGAAGCGGAGCAAGCTCTGTCTACCAGTCAGACGCGTGTTCTTGTTGTAATTTGATAGGATTGGGCAAGATTCTTACGGGGTGTAGTCCAGCCAGAGCCTCGGCGATATCAACACGAAGACCGTTCTTACGGCCCTTGTAGGTGGGAGGGAAGAGGCTGATCAAGTTGAAGTCCAGCGAGCCGTCGGCAGCGCCCTAAAAGCGAGTCGTCAGTATATGTGGCTCAGCTTGGAGATATGTAAGAGGTTCATACCGCAGGATCAAAGGTAATGGCAAACGTGTTGTTGCTGTTGGGAGCATCCTTCTCAGGAGTGAGCTCAACCTCGTGCTCAACCCACTCGTCGGCCGATGCCTTGGACTCAATCTCGACAGAGCCAAACACGTCCTCGTTGAGAGCGGATTTGAGGCTGGCAGTAAAGACACCGTCATACGAGCCCTTGACCCAAAAAGAGCCAGTGTACTTCTGCACCTTGACGTCCATGCCCCAGTAGCCATCGTTCTCGAGGCCGATAGCGCCGGAGCCGTTGCCCCCAGCGACGTTGACGGAGACGGGGAGGGCGGCAGAGAGGGGCTCGGTGAGGTTCTTGAGGGTGAGCTTGGCGCCGTTGATGGCGTGCCAGGCGTCGAGGGAGACGGGGAATCTGGGGCTGAATTGGAAGGCTCGGTTGCGGATCAGCTCGGCATAGATGCCACCATCACCAGAGTTGTTGATGTCCTTGAGATTGCAGATGTTAGCTGGAAGACCTCCGGGCAAGAGACGGCATTGATTCACAAACCTCATGGAGGAATCCGTACTGGTGGCCACTGGTGGCATTGCCACCGGATGCCTTGATGGAGACATCGACAGCAGCAGCTGAAACGGCGTAAGTAGCGGCCAGAATGGCCGACTTGAGCGACACCATGTTTGCTTCCCTATTGCTTGAGATTGAGGTTGCAATGACGCGAGGGTGTCAAACAGAAGGAACCATCAAGTCGGCTACGAAGGGGCATCCTCTTTATAAGGAACCCCAAGCTCCACGGGTACACGATGAGCTGATCCCCAAGGGACTCAATGGACCGGGGAGAATGTTGCCATACTTGCGTAGCATCGCATGCGAACCGGGTGGAGGAAGAACATGTGCTCATTTCGCCCGGATGGACAGGGCCTTTGGAAAAGATCGCCTCACAATGAACCGGTGTTCCTGATGTGCCTGATCACCCCGCATCCTGCTCAGATAAGGTGGTACCCGGCGTGAACGTCTCCTCGCCCAGACGGCAGAACCCACATCGTGAGCGTCGCTTGTCGGTGGCTTCAGGACCGAGGACGAGCAGTCTTGGCAAGATTTCGCCCCGCGGACTCTACGGATACCAGGGGGGGGCTTCTTTGCTTCAGCTCGGTTGATATTTCGCGTCTTCATCTGCGAGCACTGAAAGAGCAAGGGTCTATGGTCCGGAGCAGAAGTAACAGCAGCTTGGATTGGGTGTTTGCGCGCAAGTTGTGAAGAGTACCGTTACATCGGCCGCGCACCGGTTGATGTCTGAAGCTTCGCGCGCGAACGCGAAAGGAGGACAACGTTATTTAACCCCCCTTGCAAGCTTCCCCTCCTCCGCTCCTGTGGGGAAATACCTGGAGGACAAGGAGGAGGACATGGTGACAAGGGCAGAACTTTTGACTTCTTGAGATGAAAAGAATGAGGGGAAGTTGGAGAAAGAGGGAGCGGTCCGCGGCCTGGTCTGGGATATCCCCCGGATCCACCCTCGTCATCTACCGGTTTCCGAGCGTGGCGATGGCGTCCTCTCATTCGAGCGCATCAACAACAATATCGGGGCTCTCTTTTTTACCGCCAAAGAGAGTGTGTCTGCCCCATGTGTGCAAGCACATTGTGCCTGGCGCTAGATGAGAGCATGGCACGCATCATGACTTGATCATAGTGTATTCGGGTTTTGTGAATTCCTGATGCCGGTGGGGCAGTAAGTCATCAACAGTTCAACAGTCATCAAGTCCTTCCCATTACCTTAGCCTTACATACCGTATGCCAACACCCCGCAGTAAAGCCTGGGCTCTTGAGATTGGGTTGGACCGCTTCGATGCAAGATGTAGCATCATCTCTGGGCATTCGCCTGGTAGCTCATCTGCCGTTTCTTTTCACTTGCCACGAGCCTCCGCGTGTGTGAAAGGGCAGGTAAGGGTTTCACTCTTTCGATCTCATTGCGCGAACATTCGCTTGTCTGGCATCTTTGGTCAACTCTGCTTCCTTCTCCATTTTCAACTCGGCCTTAAACTCTCTTTCGCATATGATAAGACCGGGTGTTAGCTAATAGCAAAGTACCTTACCTTAATTAGCATCCTTGGGCGAAGCCAGAGACACGGCTTTGCTAGCATCACCCGCTTGCGCAGGAACATGGAGAACTGCAGTAGGTCAGCTAACAGGATACGTCCAAGCTCAGTCCCAGTGGACATTGATTCAAGCCCCTCATCAGGCACAGCCGGCAATAGGTATCATCATGTAAACTAAGGGAAGCCGGTTGCGGAAAGCTTATCCATGAAGTACCATAGCGAAGTGAAGCCAATCGTTATCAAAACGCGAGTTTGTGTTCAATGGCTAGTACAATAAGAGGCTGTTTTCTCCGGCACCAATGCGTCATTAACGATATGTTATGATCAGATTCGGCAAGAAGGGGTGTTATGTCCCCCAAATTTTGTCTATGTCCACTTCAGAGATCCTCTCGCGAGGTTCGCGCAAGTGCTCATCGTACGTGAGTACAGGACCCATGCATTTTCGATAAGCTTCCAAGTCTACGACCGACCATACACTCGAAATCTTCCCATCCTCGAGCTGATAAATGACAAACTCCTCGAAGAAGACGCCTTCGCCATTAGGCTTCGCGCCTCCCCATTCCTTGACGGGGGTCCCCGTGAACTCGATTCTCGCCGCGATCTGCTGCGTCTCTTCAACCGCGATGACGGGGTAGGCACAGAACTCGAGGCCCTCAATCGCATCTTGGCTCTCGCTGATCAGAGGTATGTACTCGGCGATCGAGAGCTTGCGACCATTGTGCGAAAGCTCCGGCTGGCAGAATTGGTCAAAGTCCCGTTCCATTGTCTT